TCAGTGGATGCTGCGAGTCAGGACTCCCTGAAAGCTTTGTTTGTTTCCCTCCTTAAGGATCCCCTGAAGCCAGCCCTGACATGGCTTCTAGACAAACTTCTTCCTTAGAGATCCTACTTGGGGGTCAGCACCATTTTTGGACAGAGTGCCAAAATACCTGCAGGCTCGACTTGTAAGATATTGGTATGCCAGGGGCAGACTGAGGAGGAGTCACAAGGGGCCTGATCCTTGTTGTGGCAGTGCAGCCCCAGCCCCTTCCCTGCTGTCTGCCTCAAGGTGTGCATGCCAAGTAAAATGCCTTTGCATGCCACACTCTGGCACCAAAGCAGGGGTTGCCTGCCCCTGTCCCAAGTCTTTTCTGTCCCTGGCTTTCCCAGTGGTCTGTAGGACCACCTCAGAGAGAGCTCCTCCTTTGTTCAATTCCTGGGAAAGGGAAGATTGCCTCTTTGAAACAGGAGTGGGGGAAGGAGGTCAGAGTGCTGACATACCAAATAACAAAAGCAGCCAGTTTTGCTTCAGACAAGCAGGTCCTGGTGATTGTGTCACTGTAGCTCCCTGGTCCTTCGAAGTCCTGCTTACTGTCCCTTCAGCTCCCTCAATCTCCTCTCTCCCTAGGCACACTGTGCCATTTTAGCAACAAAGTAATACAACTATAGTAATCTTGGATTTGAACACTCACCCAAGCAAGCAAGCAAGCAAACAAGTTATCAGGAATCAATTTGAGAGTCTGGGGCCTGCTAACTGGCCCAGATGGTTACTTTTCCCTGGGGCAAGGGACATTTAGATGTCCTGCTATGGAACTCAAAGGGTGTTTCCACTAGGTTCTCCATAAGAGCTCCAGGTTAGGACTTAGTTGATTTAGCCTCTTTATTCACAAGGGGATATTGTGTCATGGTTATGCTGTGCATTTTGTGTGTGGGAGGATATGTGGTCCTTTATGATCACTCCAGTAGATGTTACAGTGAAGCCAGTGCAAACTATAAAGGATAAAGAAATACTGTATTACTCTTTGAAAATACAGACTGGTTTTAATGATATGAAAGCAATCGTGACAATCATTTATAATATATAAAGTAACAAGGTGCTCATAGTTCATTTTAACCATAGCTTGCTTTCATAGTGGTATTATACACTGTGAAATTTAAGATCCTATTAAGTACGATTGTGTTAAGTATATCAACTTAAACTATATTGTTGATTTAACTAGTTTCTTATTTCTAAAGAATATTCCAAAACTAATATGATAGAATGGTTTAAAATCAGTGGTACCCAACCTTTTGGCCCCACAGACCAGATGAGCAGTGCCAGGTTGGTCTGTGGGCCCAATCATGCCATTCATGCATTGGAAATTTGGTTGCAGAGGAGCAGTGGCAGTGTTAATTTCCACCACTCCACCAAATTTCCAGATCTGTGGGAAGCCTCAGGGACTGGATGACATGGCTCTGGGCCAGATGTGGCCTACAGGCTGGGGGCGTTAAGCACCCTGGTCTAAATTATTTAAGTCATATCTATGCACAGCTTTCACATTGGTTCAGCTATTCATTGAGGGGACATAACTTCTAGTGTGAATGCAGTTATAAAAATGTTTCCTAGGTCAGTGGTCTGCAACCTTTCCTTAATGGTTGGTCATAGTAACATGACACAGTCCATGAACTAGAGGTGGTATTTGACAGAGCCATAAAATGACATATTGCACAAACATGTGGTAGGTTGATGATCCCTGCCCTGAAGAAAGGGAATACTGGCTTCAGTTTAAAATCTGTGGTTGGCAGCCTACAGCCTGTGAGAACTGGATCAGCTGGGGGAGACTGGTGGCAAGCAACTTTGCCATGCCATCCCCTTCCTACTGTTCTCACGTGCCTGCACATGCCCTTTCCACAGGATTTAACCTTCCTCACTGCTGTTGTGGAGAGGGACTAGCAGCGAGGGTACACGCAGTTGGCTTCGGCACTCACAGCATGTAGTGAAGATGTGCGACTCACAGCATGGGTTGGGTCACAAGCAGTGGTCCATGGCCACAAATGGTCGACACCTGCCTAGTTTAAAGCACCTTCATATTAACTAAGGTAGTTTAATGCCGATTAATACTTACTAGTGCCCTATAGACATTTCTCTTTATTACTGACAAATTGACACCTTTGTTGAATTTAAAGAATGAATTAGCAAAGGAACTGAACTAACTTTATTGCTAAAAATACTTCCTCCAAATCAGCATAGAGTGGGTGTCTTCCAGCTTGCCTATATTCCATGGGTTACTAGGACTTCCACCTTAAGGAATGTAAATTGTCAAAGCAATAATGTTGGAGCAAGCCACTCTTCCTTCCTGCCACCTCCATACTCAGCCATATACTTTATATCATTTGCTCTACTAGGCCTAGTTATTAAAATACACCAGAGAGGACCAGTGACTCCTCTTGACATCTTGATGTTTTGTAGTTTAACCTCCCTTTTTCCAAATCATGCAGGTGATTTCCTTGGACCTCCGTTCAAACACTTCAGAAGGAAAAAAAGTAAATGGTCATGAAGATGGCTTGGAAGAGAGAGCCAGTAGTTTTGTGGATGAGATGCGCTATACCCATATTCTAAATAGAGTACTTCCTCCTGATATACGTGTCCTAGCCTGGGCTCCTGTAGAGCCCAGCTTCAGTGCTAGATTCAACTGCCTCAAGAGGACCTATCGCTATTTTTTTCCACGTGCAGACCTGGATGTAGCACTCATGAATGCTGCAGCCCAAAAATACATAGGGACTCATGACTTCCGCAATTTGTGCAAGATGGATGTAGCCAACGGTGTGATAAACTTCCAAAGGACTATTCTCACTGCACAAGTGCAACTGGTGGATAGAGGCCAAGATATTGGGCTACAGGACCCTTTCCAACTGTGTCAGTTTGAAGTAACAGGCCTGGCATTCCTCTATCATCAAGTCCGCTGTATGATGGCAATCCTCTTCCTAATTGGGCAGAGGATGGAGGACCCAGAGATTATTGACAAGCTACTGGATGTGGAGAAGAACCCTCGAAAACCACAGTACAGGTAAATGACTTAGACCTCCTCTACATGTTACAGGTATCACAGTTACCCAATAACTGGTTAACTGTGCAATTACCTAGAAACCAGCTACATGACCAGCTGTCATACCATAAAAAGCTCCAACCAGCTATAAAGCTAGACCTTGGAAGTGTGTACTAACTTTATAGCTGGTTGCCATTGAGCCTTATTATGCATATGTAACACCATCTCCCCTGCATCTGGGAACCCCATCAGCTGACAGGGCTCCTAGCCACAGGGGTGCACCATGCCTAGCCAGAGCTGGGAGTTCCAAAACTGAGGGGACTCTCAGCCCCAACAGCTGCCAACTCTGGATCCTAGCAGTACAGGGGCCTAAAGTCCCACAGCTGTTGATGCGCAGGGTACAAAGACCCAGATGGGGTTTCATGTACCCCCTAACCTGGAAGATCACAGGACTGACAGTCCCCAACCCCAGGGGTGTATGGGGCACCCCTGTGATTGGAAGCTCCCCAGTTGAAGGGGCTCTCAGCTGTAGGAGCTTGCTTCTTTCCAGTGCACAAGCAACTAAGGTGTTTATGGGATCTAATGCATGGTCCCACAATCATGCCTCCTGCCATGTACATGTGGCATAGCAGGAAGTGCGACTGTGACCCCATCACGCCTTTACCTGCATGAGTAGAAGGGTATCGGGCAAATCCCTAGAATCATTTCAGAGCATTTATGTACACCAACACCTCTTTCTGTAAGCACTCCTGCTATACTACTTTTTCTTGTCAGCATCTAAGCAGTTTGTCATAAATTGGGCCCAGCAACCCCTCATATTTAACATCTTTTTACAATCTTCAAACACTACCTCATGGAACAGTTTTATACTAACCTCTGACTCTTCCCAGAAGAAAGCTAAAGTTCTTAAGTGTGTGGTAAAACCATAAGCACAACTCATAGGATTAAAGAGCTGTCAAATCAGCAATTTCTGTACAAGATGGCAGTGAGCCAATTTTAATCTTTTCTACAAAAGGTTGTGCTAATACTTCAGACCTCCATTCTTTGCTTTCTCCAAGTCATCACTTTTGTAGCTTTCTTTTCACTATACCATTGCATCATTAGGTAAATGTCTCCCTCTCTCCATCTTGCAGCATGGCAGTGGAATTTCCTCTGGTTCTTTATGACTGCGAGTTTGAAAACATCCAGTGGATTTATGACCAAGAAGTTCAGGAATTCAATATTACTCACCTACAGCAACTCTGGGCCAATTATGCAGTCAAAACCCATATGCTATATAACATATTACAGGGGCTAGATTCTGTCAGTGTGCCCACAGGAACAGGTAGGAAAACTGCTTTGTTAGATAACAGTGGCAGTAAGTCAGAGGGAACAAAACTTTTTCAGAAACCAGTCATCTGGGTTGTTTAAGCAACTGATTTACTTCCTTGTATGTTACAGACTCGGGGAACAACGATAAGGTCCTCTGGAGAGAAGTGAAGCCTCCAATCCATAACCAGGTCAGCAGTTTTGTTGAGGGAGTGAAAGCCCGCACTTACAAACCACTGCTGGATCGCCCCAAGTGTGAAGGTTTAGAGTCCCGGATCCACCACTTTGTGCGCAGGGGCCGTATTGAAATGCCACACTGCAAGGAGAAAGAGGCTGGAGCAGAAGCACAAGAGCTAGAAACCAAGAGAGGCCATAGTGAAACTACAGAAAAAGATACTGAGGTACTAGAACAACCTGCCAAGAGGGTCTGTGTAGACGCAGAATCCAAGATCTCCAAATGATACGTTGCCACTGGGGACAAGCAACAGGGTGATGAACTCCCCTGGGATTTAAGGCTTCTTTCTTGGGAAGGAAGGTAGATAGAATTGTTTAAAGATAGCTCTGTGCCTTTTTTAGTATAATGAATACTTTCTAGGGGACCCTACAAATTATTATTTTATAATGGTCTAATGTAAAGATTCTGAAACTGGTTCATGGAGCACTTACTAATCATATAATACTTGTTTTGCCTTTAACTGATCTTGCATTAAAAGCAGGTAATACTTTTCAGTGTAAGACTTCTTATGTAAGCAAAGAGAAGGGAAGGCAACCTGCATAATTATGTGGAGGGAAGGTGTTCACAAGACATTCTTAATTAACCCAGACTAGGACAGTGATATCCTAATAATGTTGCTTCTACCCTAAGCTTTTCTACTCAAGAGTGCAAAGATCATTCTCCCTAACTTTCTGCTCCCTTCCTGCTACACACTTCTCATGTTTTGCTTTAGTATCTTGCTTAATAAAGAACTGTACTGAAAGCTAGGGCTGTGAGAAACTTCAGTTGCTGATTCGATTCAGTGGAGATTCGGCCGAATCAAATTGGGGACAGCGATCCAACTCAACGAATTGAGTTACTGTCCACAATTCCAGCCAAATCCAAATCAAATAAGGCCTGCTTTACCTACCCGTACTGAAAACCCAAATACTGTCCATGTCAACCAGCTCTGCGTAAAATGCTGTCTGAGCAACTTGGAGATAACTAAATTGCATTCTGGTTAGCAATGATCAAAAACCATGCATCTGCCAGACTGCCTAAGCATTTGGGGAAAAACTAGAGACTCTGGATTCCCTCCTTATGACAATATACCAGTTCCTGAAGATTTTCCTTGAAGAAAAAAGAGAATTTAGATGCTACCGAGGCCATGTGTACACCCACCTCTCACCCAAGAGTTAAATACATCAGGTAACCATGCTATATAGGGATGCACTGATAAAGATTTTTTTTGGGCCGATACCAATGGCCAGTTATTAACCATCCATATGGGCCAATACTGATCAGATTGCCGAGATGGAGAGCAGCATCTAGCTGGTAAGTCTGTTCATAGATTGTTAGGGACTTTGCAGATCATCAGGTCCAGCCCTGCCCCCCGCCTCTAGGCAGGAACACAACTGGGGTTAAGTGAGGTGACTGTCCAGTCTCCTCTTGAAAACCTCCAGGGTAGGTGACTGTACCACCACTGGAGGGAGTTAATTTTACAGTCTGGACACCCTGACTGTGTGATGGAGTTTTTCCTGGTATTAAGCCTAAAGCAGCCTTCCAGGAGTTTGTATCCATTGGTCCTGGTCTTTTCCAGGGGTACCCTAGTAAACAGCTGTTCACCAAGCTCCTGATGCACTCCTCTAACATTCATCGCCCCCTAGGTCCCTTTTGGCCATGGTGCAAGTCAAGCTGTCACCACCAAGCCTGGATGCATGTTGAGGGTTGTGTACGCCCAGATGGAGCACCTCACACTTGAAAGTGTTAAACTTCATCTAGTTCCATTCTGCCCAACACTCGAGCCCTGTTCAGGTCTGCCTGTATCTGTAACCTATCTTCTGACATGGCCACACTGCCCCAGAACTTGGTGTCATCCACAAACTTGCCCAGCAAGCTTTTCACTCCCCCATCAAAATCATTGATAAAGATGTTCAAAAGCACGGGACCCTTGAGGGTACCCCACTGGCCACTTCATGAGAACTCTGGGTCCTGCCCTGGAGCCAGCTTCCCATCCACTGAACTGTTAAGCAGCTGAGCCCACAATCTTCCAGTTTTCCTACAAAGATATTGTGGGATACTAAATCAAAAACCTTTTGGAAGTCTAGGTATACAACATCTACCACGTCTCCCGTGACCAGGTGGCAAGCAACCTGGTTGTAGAAGATGAGTTTAGTAAGACAAGACCTACCCACGACAAAGCTGTGTTGGCTGTCATTCAGAATCTTACCTTCCGCAAGCGTATTGCACATAGATGCTTTAATGAGCTTTTCCAGGATTTTCCCTGGGATAGAAGTTAGGCTGACTGGCCTATAGTTGCCTGGGTCCACCCTCTTCCCTTTCTTGAAGACAGGCACAACATTGGCCCTCTTTCAGTCCTGTCCCAAGGCGTTAAGCAGGCTGCCACTGCTCCATGCAACCTGGGAGGGCTTACTGGGGCATGTGGCCCCTGGATCTGGATGAAATGGGGCAGGCTTCTGCTGCAGGCTGGGGCCAGGGGACTATGGTGAATTTTGTGGTGGCTGCAACCTCCCACCCAAATAACCCCTGTCCAGCACCACCGCCCCCCCCACCCCAGCAGAGCCCAGCTCAGCCCCAGCCTGCAGTAGCAGCCCACCCTTTCCCCACACGCAGATCCGATGGCATGTGTCCCCCATGTCCTTCTGGGGTGTGTGCAGTGGTGGGAGCCACCCCCCAACTCCAGCAAACTACAGCTCTGTCCCGTGCCCTACCCCAGCCCCTCCCTAACCACAGGGGCCTCGACCTGCCCCCCCACCCTTTCCCCTCCCCCTGTCCTTCACAAGACTCACCAGGGGACGCTGCACTTGAAGCTGCCGAGCTGCGTATGGAAATTGGATCATATCAGCGGTAGGCCTATGCGAGTAGGCAGATATTTGATCTGGCTGCTTCAGATGCCAGGGATCTGATCCAGAGCTCCTGACCAGGTTCCCGATTTGATCTGGCCAAAGAGGCTCCGAAGCCACCTCAGAGTTCCAGACATAGGGTATAATGGGGAATCAATAAAATATCTATAACTTTGTTGTTTTCTGTCAGATTTGGATGAAACTTGCAAGGGTGGCATCCTCTGCTGAGAGCATGAAGCCTGCCAAGTTTCAAGAAGATCAGTGCAGGGGTTTGGGGGGAACTGCACCCCAAATTCTTGCAAGCAAAACTCATGTCACATGTATGTATTATACCACAGGCTTTGTTGAAGCCACAAAGCCTGCTGGAGGGTTTTAGGTGCATCTCCCACTGCATCTTCATTGTCTTTTGTAATCAGTTCTTGTTGGGGGGGGGATTCTTTGCGATTCAGACAGGCTGCGTCCTGTGCCAGGGTTCCCCAAGAACACAGAGCTAAGAGGTAACAATATGCATACTTTAGATCTTTTTCAAGTCTTAGCTATCTCACTGTTTCAAGTCCCCAAAGCCTGCCAAATTTCAAGAAAATTGATGCAGGGGGTTGGGGGTATTGCCTGTGAGCAGCTCGAGATGCAAAGCTTGTGACATGGGTGACACTGTGTGTGTTAAAGCACAGCAGGGTGAAAGCTCCAGGGATGGTGGCCCCTGCTGAGGCCACAAAGCCTGCCACCTGTCAAGGAGATCAGTGCAGGGAGGTTCTGGGGCCCTGCACCCCCAGCTGCTGACAGACAAAACTCATGACATGGGTGCTTGTGCAACTGACCTTTTCCATCTTGGAGCAGTTGATTGTCTGTATTGATTATTTCCTCTCTTTAGTCTGTGGTTTTGTAGGTGTTAATTGCTGCTAATTAACTGGTTACATTAGCTAGCAACTGTGCATTGAGCTGGTCCCAGATTGAGTCACAATTGATTGGTAACTGGTAACACAGTAGCTTAGCAGCCAGGCCTGCAATATTCCGGAGGTGTCGTCCTCCCCCCACAAGACAAGCACCCATGTCATGAGTTTTGCTTGTCTGCAGCTTGAGGTGCAGTTCCCCCTAACCCCCTGCATCGATCTTCTTGAAACTTGGCAGGCTTCATGCTCTTGGCAGGGGCTACCACCCCCGCAAATTTAATCCAAATCAGGCAAAAAAACCAAACAAAGTTATAAATGTTTCATTGATTCCCCATTATACCCTATGGCCGGATCTCCGAAGTGGCTCCAAAGGTTTTCCGAACCGCTTCAGAAAGCCTAAGGAAGCCAGCGGTTCAATCTGGACGTGCTACTTCAGACACCAAAGCCTTGCACAGCCCTAATCAGCAGGTACTGCTACTTACAGATCAGCTATTGGTATCAGCCCAAAACATCTCTATCGTGCACCCCTATTCGAGGTGGAAGCACTTGGAGACCACTAGGACAGGAAGAAGAGCTGGAGCGATCCTTGGCGGAGAGGAAGAGGCTGCACTGCAAGAACCCCGAAGTTTTTCCTCTCCCCACAAAACCAGGTTCGTTTTAGGTCAAGATCGTGAAGCAGATCCTGGTTTTGAACTAGACACAGGCGGGTCCGACAGCGACCCCCAGTTTACTCTGAGAACGTGAAGCCACGTGCAAGAGGAGCTCGTGCCGCCGCCGCCTGCTCCCCAGCGGCTGGAGGAGCAAAGCCACAGCCGGCACTACCGGCGCTCAAGAGCAGGCCCCGCTCTCGCCCTTCCGCGAGGCCGGCAGAGGCGGAGAGCCCGGCTCGAGGCCGCCACGGGAGGACTAGGGCCGCGCCCGACACCCCAGGCCGCGCGCCGCAGCTGGGGCGCCGTCCGCGCAGGGCCGCTGGGGGCCACAGTACCTGCTCGCGCCGCGGCTGCTTCCGTGGGCTCGACCGTTGCTGGAGCCAACCGCCGTGTCCGCCGCCGTTTAAATCGCGGGGCGTGATTGGGCCGAAGTCGCACAACTCCCTGCGCTCTCATTGGATAGCATTCCGAACGCCGACCCTAGGTCGTCATCTGCCATTGGTGCCGCGAGAGCGATCCCGCCTCCGCCCCGCTGTGTCCCTAGCCATTGGGTGGAAGGTGTGAAGTCTCGGCCAATTCCTGCGCACGTTCTCTCGATGACTCGCCGAGCCTCCTGCTGATTCGGCGCCTCATTGGCGCGCCGGCGGCGCGGGGCTCGGAGCTCCGCCCCTAGGTGGGGAAGCTGCGAGATGGCGGCTTGCGGCAGGCTTGGGCTGCAGCTGTGCGGGGCGGGGCTGCGGCCTTTCTCTGCCTCGCAGACGCTGGGCGCCGCGGCCACGGCGGAGCAGCTGGTGGAGAAGCTGAGGGCTCAGCAGCGCGAGGAGTCGAGGGGCGAGGTGAGAGCGCGTTGGTCCCAACATGCCCCGCGGGGTCGGAGCACGTGCCTGTGAGGCGGGCCCGACGCCGCCGCCGGGACCTGGGGCTGTACGTGCGTCTGCTTCAGATACAAACTAAATTAAAACCGTTGTAGCTGTGACGAGTGCCCCCATCCTCTGCCGACACTGGCTTCTGCAGCGTTGTAGTTCTCAGGTCAAATATACTTGTAACTCCTGGACTGGAGCAGGCGCAGGACAGCCATGGCAAAAGCCTCATCTGACCTTTTGCTGCCTCTTACTTCCCATGGTCTGCTCCTCACTGCTCAGAGAACTGTGCTCAGCAGGGATTAAAATGATATCCTGGTCTCCAGGCTCTTGGGCCTGTATGCAGCAAATGTTGAAACCCAAGCTAGTCAGGGAAACGCAGGCACTGGATTAATTTGGCACAGGCCTCTGCGTCACGTGAGATCCAGTGGGGTGGCAGTTGTGATGGGAGTATGGGGCAGCGCCTGCGATCGTTCTCACACACTAAGCTTCTCTCTAATGCGTTATTGATGTTATCCTAGCAACACCATGTGAAATGAGGGGCAGAAGCAGACCCAGGGAGTAAGCTGAGTTGCAGAAAAAGTTTGTGGCAGGGTCAGGAGTTAAACTCTGCTCCCTGAATCCCTGTCACATAAAACCATCCTTTCTCCACTAATAGTAATTCTTGATCTTTGCAGGAGCCCAAATCGCCGCTCTTGAGACGGGTCCGTCAACTTGACAGGTTCAGCAGGCAGCTCCAGCGGGTTCATCCCAATGTGCTGGCCAAAGCACTAAAGAATGGGATCCTGTACCAAAATGAGAAAATTGTGGTGATTAACAAGCCTTATGGCATCCCTGTGCATGGTGAGTGGGGGGCAGAGAGTCTGTTGTACAATGCCAGTATTGATGCTACGATTGTGTATTAGCAGCTCTGGGAGAAGTAGCTCATTATGGGGACTTGACTAACCCTTTCGCTGTAGGCTACCAGAGCATCTGGTCCTGTGTTACCTTAAGTAATGTTAATTGATTTTTGGCTCCAAATATCACTCAAATCATTGTGAGACTCCATCCTGCTGATTCATAGAATGCGAAGTGAGAATGGACCTTTGTTATCTAGTCTAGTTTCCTGTGTGATGGAGGCCATCATTTTTTATGTCTAAATCGAGCCTGGTTAATGGTGACTTCAGCAGTGACTCTGAAGTGGAGCTGTAGCCCATAATATTTCTTATATTAGCTTTGTGGGAAAGCAGGGTGAGCTAATAACATATTCACTCTCCTTTCTCTTTCTCTCAATCTCTTTCTCTCTCTTTCCTGATAATATTAGGGTTTTCTGTCCTGATTCAGTTTTAAAGGCAACAGTGATGATAATTATCAACTCAGGGTCACGTCGCATGGCTTGGGTAGGCACTTAGGGCAAGTCCTGTGCGTTTGTTTTGTGAGTCTGTGTTGAACCCAGTGGCCAGAGTTCTAGAGCCCCCAGAGTTGCTAGTCAGGCTAAGATCTGGAAGTGTTTCAGCAAATCTGCTCTAGACTGTGAGAGTCTGTGTGACTAATAAGTCTCCAAAAGGATGTTTTAGTCCATGAAATGCCAGGTTCTTTCTGTAGGCTCCTTGACAGAGCTTGTTGTCATTGGCTCTGTGCTTAGGGAATGCTGTTTCCCCAGGGAGTTCTTCTGCATGCTCTAACCTGTTTTTAATATCTTGCTACCCCTTCATTCATGCAGGTGGACCTGGTGTCAAAAATTGCATCACTGATGTTTTGCCCATTTTGGCAAAGATGCTGAATGGCATGAAAGCTGAACCCCTGCACTTGTGTCACCGGCTGGATAAGGAGACAACAGGTGTGATGGTGCTAGCAAGGAACAGTGACATAGCTCATCAGATCCAGCATCTCTTTAAAACTCGTCAGGTGGAGAAGAAATACAGGTATGAGAAGTCTTTGGGTTTGGTTTGTTGGAAGGACATGTGCCCTGTAAAAGATGACTAGTGTTAGTGTGGGCAGAAACAGTATATGTTTCCCACACTGCTCTCAGGAAACACCGTTTGAGGTGAGAGGAAAGAATGGTCTCCCCCCACCCATTCAGACTGGAGTTTCTGCAGAGACTGGCAGCAGAGGGGAGGAACTAGGGCTGGCAGTGATTCTTCAAGCCACTGCACCTCTCTCTTAGAAACTAGATGGCTTTCCCTTGGTGATTTCCATAGGTCACAGAAACCACTGAGGCAATGGCTTGGACTGTCTTTGAACTGCTGAATGGACCCTGAACTGTCCATGCGTAATCGTGTTTTTGTGTACTCCCATGGGGAGTGATGGAAGCACTATCTGTTCTGGTTTGGTTGCACTGTGCTGGGGAGTCAAACATGGAACATTTAGATGCTAGACCTAATTGCTTGTTACTATGTGCTGTATGCATGATGCATAAGTCAGGAGACAGATTTACCCCTTTTGCTCCTTTGGGTGGTAGGGGCTGTCTACACAGCCTGTGTAGGGGTAGGAGGATTTTATATTCTTTCTCTGGCATTCATAGGAGAGTTACTGAAGAAGGCATCCTGCACTCTTCAGCCATCTATGTTGGGGGGATGCGACCTTTGCAAGGGGGCAGAACCTTGGAGCTCTGATGCTGTTTCTGACACCACGAGACCTCAAGGTCTTGCTGCATGGTAATTTTGGGCAGCTTCTCAAGCTTTTAACACCCAGGTTGTCCACACTTTAACACCTGAAACTAGTTTTAAGCATGCATTATGCAGCTCAAAGTTATGCCACTCCATGACAGGATTATTTTTGATCTGTGTTACATAGCTCATGTTACCCTAAGGCATAGCCAACTCTAAGCTGCACCTTAGTGTAACTCTTCTATGTCTCTTTCCCCCTGCCCCCAGCTTCCTTCACTGGCCTGGATCAAACTCACTGAATCCCCAGATCCCCTCCCCACTTAATCCCCCCATCCCCTCTGCTTGCTTGTGGCTATCCATGCTGTCCATCCCAGAGAGCAGGCAGGGAAAGATCAACCTGTCTGCCCGGCTGCTGCCACTGCTACTTCTGCTTTCTGGGCTGGGCTCAAACTGACTGCTCAAAACTTGAGGTGCCATTAACACTGAGTAACATTTGTGCAACTTGGTGTAAGGTATAACAAGACCCTTAGAGACATGAAGAAAATCGTACTTCAGCTGCTTGTGAGTGCTGGACACTGGTTTGTCATCAACTAAGAGTCTTCTTTTGCAGGGTTGTAACCTCTGTAGCTGGGCTTGGAGAGAGAGAGGAGAGGAGTAAAAAAGAAGCATGTCTCCCCTCCCTGACACAGCTGATTGTGGCCTGCAGAGGCTAGAGCTGCCCCTTATTGACTTTGTTCTCTTCCCAGGGCAATCAGTGTGGGGGTCCCAGTCCCCTCAGAGGGGGTGGTGGAGATTCCCATTGTGGAGAAGGAAGTGCAGAGCCAAAAGTCCCACTATAAGGTAGGTGAACTTACCCCCAATGGGGACCTCTCCTTTGTTTCCTTTGCTCTTAGTGTGCAGAGGTATTTCTCTTGACCCACCCTCTCCCTCTGGTTCAGATGACGCTGGCACCAAACTATCGCCTGTCTTCTGAGGAAGGAAAGCTGGTCAAATTGCGTAAGGACCGAGCTGCTCAGGGTGCAGTGACCCGATACCGTGTTCTGGCTAGCTCTGCCTCTTGCTCCCTCCTGGAGCTCCAGCCAATCACAGGTAAGGCATATTGTGACCCATGGGAGGGAGGTTTAATGCTCAGAGCTTTCATTTGTTAGTCTTGTGAGCTTCCTTCACTGCCTCTGTGGAAGTAACTGTTATGAGAGGGACAACCATAGCCTGAAAGGAGGACCCAATCTAACCCTGGGTGTGTCCAGCCATTCAGGACTTGGCAGAGCAGCCTATTAAATAAGATTGAAATAGATCTGAAAGGAGCATAGATTCATAGATATTTGGGTTCAAAGGGACCTTAGCGGATCATAGAGTTCAACCCCCTGCCTGGGGCAGGAAAGATCACTGGGGTCAGACAGCCCCAGCCAGGTATATGTCTAGCCCCCTCCTACAGACCCCCAAGGCAGGGGAGAGCACCACCTCCCTTGGAGCCCACTCCAGATTTTGGCAACCCTTACCATAAAGAAGTTCTTCCTTATGTCTAACCTAAATCTGCTCTCCGTCAGTTTGTGGCCGTTGTTCCTAGTTACCCCAAGGAGTGCCCTGGTAAACAGCATCTCCTATTC